TCCAGGATGGTCCTGGGAGGAGGTCAGTGTGACTTCCACTCACTCCTCAACCATCTTGATTCTTTCCCATATATTGCATTTCTATTGGGTGGAGGTTTCTATTAAATATTTAACATAGATACTTAAACATTTTAAAAAATTTATATTTGAAGCTGTATCTGTGCTACCACCCTGAATAAGACAAGAACCTCAGCTGGCTCTCATACCTTCTTCGTCACTCTGTTTTGCCATCATCTGGGTTGTTAGTCCTATTGTTAAATTACCCTCACAATCTGCTTCAGGAATCATTTCTACTCAGATTCATTTACTTACTACACTTTTTGTAATCTGAACAAGCTTAACTTTCTTTGGTTTTTAAAAATAAATTGCATTCATGACTATTTCCATCAGAGATAGTCCAGAGATTATAATCTGTGTATTTTCATTTTCCAAGTGCCTTTGCTCCGCTCACAGGTAAGTGCTAGATTAAAAGGTTATAGAATTCCAAATTCTAAATCATTTTACTTTAGAAATCTGAGGATATTCCTCCACACAGTCTTCTAGGATTCAGAACTGTTGATTAGTGTCTGAGGCTAACCTCACCCTCTTTGTTTTGCCTGGACGAGTGGACATTTTTTATTACTCAGCACCAATTACCTCACCTGTTTCCCAGCAGAAATGTGACTTTGTGGCCATATCTACATCTTATTCCACTCCCGAGGAGCAGAGTGGGGAGAAGGAAGAATCTTGTATTTTTGACGACTTCAGTGAACCACTCATTCTGCTGTAGCATCTTCTATTATTTGTAGCAAGTAATACATAGGTAATCTTTATTTCTTTCTTATATCCCAGTAGTTTTTAGGATCTTCTGTTTCTCCTTAAAGTTCTGAAGTTTCATCCAGGATGTATTTTTTGCAGACACCCCCTTCACTACTCCCTGCCCGCACCAGTTAGTATGCTCAACACCTTATATTCTCCTTCACCTGGAGACCCAGATCTTTTTCAGCTGCATATGTTTTCTGCTGTATGTCTATCCATATCTCGATATAATCCATTTGTAATTCTTTCTCCGTCTTCATTTTCTCTTTCTTCTGAACCTTTACATTAGATGGATTTTAGATCTTAGGACATGTTACTGCATGCCTTTCAAGATTTTCACTCAATTTCTGGTGTTTTGATGACTTTTTCTAGATATTTTGTATTCCTTTGGAAATTATGTATATTGTTATTTTAAGGAATATTAAGAGATGAAGGGAGGTAATTGTGTACTTAGTCTGTCATGTTGTTTTTACTTCATAAATGTCAGTGCTATGTTGTTTTGCCAGTAAGGGTTCATGATTTTCATATGTTTATTTTGTATTATTATTTTGGTAAAATTCATATAACATAAAACTTACCATTTTAAGTATATTGTTAGTTGCATTAACTACATTCACATTGTGCAACCATCACTATCTATCTCCAGAAATTTTTCATTATTTCAAACTGAAACTCTGTACGCATTATACAATAAATCCTCATCTCCCTCCTCCCCAAGCCCCGGGTAACCATTATTCTGCTATTTGTATATGAATCTGACTATTCTAGATAACTCATGTAAGTGAAATTATACAATATTTGTCACTTTGGAGTCTGCTTATTTTACTTAGCATGCACTCCAGATTCATCCATATTGTAGCACGTGTCAGAACTTCCTTCTTTACATGGCTGAATAATAACTCATTGTATGTCTAGACCACATTTTGTTTATCCACCCATCCTTTCATTGACACTTGGGTTATTTCTACGTTTTGGCTATTGTGAATAATGCCACTATGTACACTGGTATACAAATACCTGTTTAAGACCCTACTTTTAATTCTTTTGGGAATATACCTGGCAGTGGAATTGCTGGATCATACAGTAATTCTATTTTTAATTTTCTGAGAAACCACCGCACTATTTTCCACTGTGGTTGCATTGTCTTATATTCCCACCAGCAATGCACAAGGATTCCAGCATCTCCAGGTCTTCAACAGCACTGGTTTTCTGTATGGTGTTTTATTTTCACAGCAGCCACACTAAGAGGTGTGAACTGATATCTCATGATGATTTTTATTTTTATTGTTATTTTAAAAAATCCTCACCTGAGGAGAGGGGTGGGAAGGTGGGGGAGAGAGAGATTGGTTGCTTCCCACAGATGCCCGGACCAGGATGGAACTTGCAACCTTTTTTCTGATGCACAGGAGGAAGCTCCAACCAACTGAGCCACCCAGTGAGGGCTCCCATTCAGACTTTAAGAAGAAATTTTTATTTTTATTTATTTTTAGAGAGGGGGGAAGGACTGGAGAAAGAGAGGGAAAGAAACATAGCTGTGCAAGAGAAACATCCATTAGTTGCCTCTGGCATGCCCCCAACCAAGGACCTGGTGGGCTACTCAGGCTTGTGCCCTAAATGGAATGAAATAGGCCACCTCGGATACTGCAGGATGATGCCCAACCCACTGAGCCACACCACCCAGGGCTTTCATTATGGTTTTGATTTGCATTTCCTTAATGGTTAGTCTTGTATATCTTTTATCCACATGAAACAATTCATGTGTCCAATTTAATTATTTTTTACTTTGAGATGATCTCATTGCAACACTGTGATCCCAGATTTCTTTTTCATATTTTTCTGGCATATTTGTTAATCTATTTTCTTCCTCCAAGTGCCTTTTAGTATTAGGTTAGCCTTTGTAAACTGTAATGTTGAATACTTAAAAAATCATTTTTCAACACTATTGAGCTCATGTTATTTGTTATGTGCGGTACCAGTCATCGGGATGGTTTGAAGAAGGGGTTTGTGGTCGAAGCTGAAGATGAGCTTCCTGATTACAACGAACCGTTTTAAAAGAATGTGTGTCATGAAAAGGAACATAATGGATTTATATTTTTGATTTTACCTAGTGTGAATGTCAGTTAAAAATATATCTTTTATATTTTTGAAAATATAATTTAGACACAAAATTTAGACAAAAATTTGTAACAGATTTGAACACTTCTCTGACCAACCAAGAATAAGCATCAGGGAGTGCGTAATGTTTCATATTTTAAAATACATTATCACTTTTCCCTTTTATCATCATTGTCACTATAATTACGAATCAAAAGGGTGCACAAGAGGAGAAGCAGTTAGGGCTGATGCTGCAAGATGTGGGCCAACCTTCCCCGGCTCTTGGCAGGGAGCGTTCTTGCCGCTTATGGCCCTCCTCGGCCACCGTCGAGGTGCTTGCCGCGACTGCGTCTGGGAAGTAGAGTTTGAAAGGAAAAGCGCTGTGCTAGAGCCCGGGACCCTGACGCTCCCAGTGCGCAGGCGCAATGACTCCCGGCGGCCTAGCAGCGGTGGTGGGAAATGTTCCTGCGCTAGGTGTTCCGCTCTCCTCCAGTGAGGTCCGCCGTTTCGCGACCCGTCGTGGTGGGGCCGGGTGGAGATTGCCGGCGAGAGAGGGCCCGGGGTGTGCACCTCCTGCGGCGGGGCCAGGTCAGCGAGTGCCAGCTCGGGGCGCTGGAGCCGCAGTGGCCTCCTCAGGTGAACGCGGCCTGGGGAGGGGGCGTTGCCCGGAGGGGCCCTCCACCCCGCCCCCGCGGGGGCCGGAAGTGGGAGCTGCCCCCGCCTGCGCCGGGCGTCCGCCTCCGCCGGGCTCCCGGAGGAATGTGTTCAGGAGGGGATTGCTGCAAGCGGTGTCTCGTTTCGGGGTTCGTGAGCCCTGTGGTGGTCTTCGGCTTGTAGTGTTTGTTGGTTCTCTCCTCTTCCCCCAGACGTACATGATACTTTAGATTTAACTGTTTTTGCAAACCTTGCTTGTTTGGCATCGTTTTCCTAGAGTGATTTAACTAAACTTTTTTTTTTTTTTTTTTGTTACGTCCTTTTTCTCTGTCTTTTAAGTTCGTTTCCAGCCAGCGACGCTGTTCCTTCTGAGTTTTGTATCTCAGGGGGTGGAGAAGGGAAGGTGGGTCCCTAACGGTCCCTTTCACACAGGGAGCTGTGATAACTCTACTTCACAAGGGAAGCGCAGCTTCCCAGAGGAAGAGAGTAGAGGAGTGTTTGGTTAGCTGTATCTGAACAGGACACCACGCTCCCCAGATGACACTTTAAGAATTATCAATGAAAGAAGCCTTCAAAGCCGTAAGGATTTATTTGAGGACGTGCCTGGAAGCAAGACCTCAGTGGACTGAGAAATGTGCCGAGAGTGGCTGACCGTTCTTTGTCTATTTCCGCAATCAGAGGAGAAAATGCACGGCAGGCTAGTAGGTTAAGGACACGGGAGAGAAAACGGGGGAAATTGCGGGGACTGGATGGAGGGCAAGACAGACAGACGCCTGGTGCGCTCACACTGGTGGACGCAGGCTGGTGACGTTGGACAGTCAGGAGGACAGACGGTGGGGCAGCAGGGCGACGGCAGGGAGGTCCGAGTGGAACTCTGCGCTCGGGGCTCCTCTGGAAGCGCCAGTTCCTCGGCCTTGGCGGAGGGGAGTCGTAGCTGCGGGACAACGGTAGGCAGGGCTCGCCTACGGCAAAGGTTGGCCGCCCGGTTAGGAGTTTCGGTGCGGGCCGTCCTCTGGTTACTTTTGGTCCCTCGGCTTGTCAGGATTGTCTAGCCTCTTCTTATTCTCATAATTATGGTTATTAGAGCTCAAAATATCAAAGCACAGATGTGTGGAATATTTATGTCATTTTTCATTGCTTTAACCCTTTGAGCCCGGAGTGACTGCTCTGCACTCTGTTAATGCACTTTCAGATGGTTCTGATGCCCGAGTTTGATTCGCCTTTGTTCACAAACCACTGGCTGGAGGGGAGCAGGCCGGGGGTGGGGAGGGAAAGAACGCCTGCTCTGGGTTGGGGGTCGGGCGACGGCCCCTCTCTCAGGGGGTCTCCTGTGCAGGGGCTGCCCGTGTAGTGGTGGTGGCCTGGCCTGGCCGGAGGGGTGGCAGTGCCCACCGCATGGACAGCATCACAGCTTCCTTCTTACTTCCAGGTGCCTCCTCCAGCCGGTGCATCGGGCAGGGGGAAATGGCCACAGAGTTGCTTCCAGCCCAGGCTCAGGTGAGTGAGGCTTCCTTCCTCGAACTGCCTTCTGGGTCCAGAGGTTCATGAACAAGCTTCGCTCCTTGTTGGGCTTGTGTGGGCAGGAAGCCCCATTCTGGTCAGAGGGCTGCAGCCGAGGGACTCGAGAAGGGAGGTGTTTTCCTCCCCTCGCTGCCACACTCATTTATGGTCCATTCTGTGCTTAATAGTTAAGTCCTTGGTTACTAGGAATTGAATGGGCCCCAGGGCCTATCCATGGTCACACCCAAAGCCCTGTGAGGAATCCAGGGTGTCTGTGCTCTGTGGAGGGCAGAGACATGGAAGAGTCAAATGATACCTTCCCCACACGAGGGATTCACGGAGAAGAGGCCGGGTTTTTGCCTTCCTAGGCAGGCAGTGCAGTACCTGGTAAGGGTCCAGGTGATTTTCTAGGAGGATCCAGGAAAGAAGTCCTCTGAGTCAGTAGGTGTGGTCAGGGGCACGCCTCAGCGTTGGGCAGTTCTGGACTGACCAGCAGTACAGGGCTCACGTAGATGGTGAAAGGAGAAGAGGTGGCAGGTTGGAGGAAGAGAGCGAGCCTTCCTTGAAGAGGGAAGCATCCGGTCCCTCGCGATGTCTTTTCTTCTCTGTCCTTGCATCGTCTGTGGGAAATATGATTGAAAACATAATCTATTCCCAGTCCCAAAAACCTCTCTACAAAAGTAGAAGACAAAGAAAACACTCTTACTGAGTGAGCTTTAAGCCAGAGTGTGACATGGGTCCCAGGCGATCCACTAAAGAGATAGAAAGATGGGAAGCTCCGCATATGTAGATGAGCAGATTATCCAACCCAGGTTTGTGGTTTGGCAAGTGTGTCAGGTGGCAGGTTGGGCCCATGTATGTCCCGCAGGACACTGGAGCTTGGCACATTCCAAGAGATGGTTACCAGGTCCTTGAGGACCCTTTCCTGAGTGGTCAGGCTTATTTAGCCATTATTGAAAAAGTTTACACACATTTGAAAAGGACTGAGAGCCCCTTATTTTTGTGTTTGCCCTCAGGGGTCAGAGAATATTCCTGGCCTTGCAACCTCCTTCCTGGGTTATGGGGGATGGTAAAGAGAAAGCAAGCTGTGACTTAACACTGACACCTGTAGAAATGTGTCCTAAGGAAGTACACTTTTTCCTGGTGATGTACAGGGATGATCAAGCCAGCATTTTTAGGGTAACTAAAGTGGAAATAACCTGAATGCCCACCAGTAGATTAGTTATGTGAACCGATTGATGTATACAGTGAAATCAGGGCCAGCAAATAGAACATGCAGTGGAATAGCTACCTGTATAATCTTCTCTTTTTGTTTAATATAAAGCCATATTAGCATGTAAAAAGTCTGAAAGAATATACAGGAAGAAGTTAAGATGTTTCTGTGATAGAAAGTTAGATGAACATTTTTTTCTTTCACCTATTGATCTTTGCTAAGTTGCTTTTAAAGAAAAAGATTCTTAAGGAAGGGGCCACTAGTTTAAAAGATGTGAATGGTCCAGGGAAGCCGGGGAGAGGTGGGTAGGCACCTCCGGGCGGACGAAGGGCTCCTTCCGCAGCCTTGCACTGGACTCTGTTGAAGGTTTTGTGCAGCCCACTGCCCGGGTCCTCTCCTAACAAAGCCATGCTTGGGGCAGTTTCAGAGCCTCCTCTCGCCCAGGACACAGGGATGGCCCAAGGTGGGGACAGCCCAGCATACCTGATCCTCCCTGAGTGAGTGTGTGGAGGCCTCCTTCCAGAACCTGATGTGACACCTCACCTGCAGAGGGGGAGCTTGGTCTCAATGGTTGATCATGTCTGTGTCTGAAGTCCCGTGTTTCCCTCATTCTGGTTTGTCTAATGACTTCGAGGGCTTGTCTTGTTTGGCTGCTGTTCAGCCTCTGAGGGCACAGGGCTTCACACACAGCAGGTGCGTGAGGGATGCGTGCTCAGGAACTGAGGGGGTCAGGAAGGGTTTGGCTTGAAATGCAGATCCCCTGAGTGGTGGCAGGGTTGCTGCTTGGTCATCCCCTTGTGGGGATGGACCTGGGCAAGCAGAAAGGGCTTTGCCATTACAGGAGTCCGTGACGTTTGGGGACGTGGCCGTGATCTTCAGCCAGGATGAGTGGCTGTGCCTGGACCCTGCGCAGAGAACCTTGTACCGGGAGGTGATGCTGGAGAACTACCACAGCCTGGTGTCCCTGGGTAAGGCCCTGCCATGTCCTGGGCTCACTGGGCGGGGCCCTGCCTTGTGATGCCCGGTCTCCTGGGGGGTATCTTGGTGTCCTCTCCAAGGAGGATGTTGCGGGTGTGGCCAGATTCAGTCCACCACTGCAGCAGTGGCGGCTGCTGCCGTGAAGGTTTCAGCTTGATAGAGTTGGTGGTGTTCCTCCTTTCTGTGCTTTTCCTGTCTCCTGTCCCCAGCCTCTGTTCCCCTGCATCTCACGGGGAGGTTCCAGCGTAGAGAAGTGCACAGCCAGAGTTCTCACCTTTTTCCTGAAACCCTGGGAGCCCAGATTTAAGCCCCTCTCAGGACAAACCTCTCTCTTTCCTTGGACTTTCCTTTTGGCCTGAGACCCTGGGGCTGGGTCTGCAGGCCAGGATGGCTACTCGTCCTGTGCCACAGACTCATCCTCTTTTTCTTGCTCACACACAGGGATTCTGTTTTTTAAACCGAAGGTTATCTTCCAGTTACAGCAAGGGGAAGACCCCTGGATGGTGGGAAACGGACTTTCCCATGGTGCATGTCTAGGTGAGTGACGGCCACTGGGGGGCAGACCTAGCTTGTCTAACTGTGGGATGCTGCTGGTCAGTGGGGAGGCTGCTCCCAGCTGATGTTGACCAGGGCCCTTGCTGATGGACCCGGTCAGGTGGGAAATGCTGGGAAGGATGTAGCTTCACACTCTTACCTTTTCAGTACTTAATTCAAGAGGTTCAGAGGGAGAGGTGGATTCTCCCAGTTTGGGTTGCACTTTTTAAAAAATATGCCCCTGGTAAGCTGAGTGCAGAATATATAATGCAATATATAGTGTGTGAATGTTAGTGAATCATATCTTCCTCCCTTTTTTTCATGCTTTTACTGGGTTATTTTCTTAAATGATTCTCCTTTTGTGGTTTTCACATACCTTGTAATGCTAAATACATCATCATTTTTCATATTGGGTTTTTGCTTTGACTTTTTTGTTTGTAACATTACACATGATTCAGTTGAAAATAAAAGCAGATGTACTTATATTTATGTGTACAACATGGGAGAGAGAAAGCAGGGGTAGCAAAATGGTAACAGTTATGAAATGCAGACAGAAGGTTCAAAGATATTCCTCATGCCATTCTCCTAAATCTTCCGTGTGAAAATTTTCAAGGTAGTATGTTCCAGACCCTGGCTGCCAGGACATAGGTCTCAATTGCCAGAACTCCTTGGGTTGCTGGATCATGAGCTTTCACTCTCTGTGCTACTTTGAATTTTGTCTTTTAAGTTTCTGACACCAGAGGATGGCTCTCTCCTTTGAGTTTTGCTGCTTATCCAGCATTTATCTTTTTTAAAAAAAAACCCAAAATATTTTATTTATTTATTTTTAGGAAGGGGGGAAGGGAAGAAGAAAGGGAGGGAGAGAAACAGGGATTGGCTGCCTCTCACACGCCTGCAACCGGGGACCTGGCCCGCAACCCAGGCATGTGCCCTGACTGGGAATCGAACCAGCGAATTTTTGGTTTGCAGACTTGCCCTCAGGCCACTGAGCCACACCAGCCAAGGCCAGCATTTATTTCTCTTGATGGCAGGAAACGGGCTTTCTCTGTCCTCTTAGTCTTGTGTTTCCTTTCATGAACTCTTTCTTCAGATCTTTGCCTTTGGTTTGGCTAGCATATGTTCTTGAACAGTGTTTTCTGGAAGGTTCACGTGTACTGTATTTGTGCATGTCTAAAGTCAGTTCTTTTACCTCTCCTCTGGGAATTATGTTTGGATGTAGAATTCTGGCATCAGATTTTTTCCCTCAGAATTGTTCAAATTGTGCTCCACTGTCTTTGGACTTGTGAGTGCTAAAGAACCTGTTGTTGCTAAAAAATCTGTTAGTGTGATCCTGTTTCCTCTATTTCCTATATAGGAATAGGAAGCCCCTTTTTTTCAGTCTGGACTTCTGTTTGAAATTACAGGATGTCCTCTTTATCTTTGGTCTTTAGAATTCAGAATTCATTAGGTTGTATCAGGGAGTTTATTTATTTATATTTTTAAATATTGTTTGGCACTCACTGGGCCCTTTGCTTTGAAGAGTCAAGTCTTTTTCATTGCAGGGATCTTTTTTCCTACTACATAGCATATAGTCTGCCACATCCCACTAACAGTTCAAGGAATCTGACTGCAAGAATAATGATATAATAAAATAGAAATTGATTCATAAATGTACAAAGTAAATATATTTATTGAAAGGACCAGAGTGGGTAGCCAGGATGAATTCCTGATTTGGCTGTGAGCTTTCTGGTTGTCAAAAAAATCATTAGTATCAAGTGTGCTCTAATTCTTTAATATGTATTTAAAATTATTGTTATTTGTACGAGGCATACATAGTATTGTAAAAAAAAGAAAAAGGAGCTAAAAAAGGAGATTCCCCTGAAATTTTTCCAACCATGCTGATAGCAACCTTTGCTGATATTTCACGGTTAATCCTTTCAGGCTGTGTGAGTATTGGTTGAGTGTTTTTGTGTGTGAGAGAGACAGACACACACAAAAGGGGAGAAACAGAGAGGTTGTCATACATGTTGTTCTCAAGCCTATTTTTACTTGGGGATGTCCTTCAATTATTCAGCCCTCTTGAAAAGAGGCCTACCTCTTTGAAAGGACTCTGTTGTATTAAGCCGTATTTTATTGAACGGTCTTTTAGAAATTTTAGTTTTTAGTTTTTCCCTGTTAATACTATTGCTATGGCTATAGAATACAATGGTATGATATAAAGATAGAAAGAGAAAAAGTCCAGAGAGTGATCACAGCGCAAAGTCATGAGTGTTATGATTAAAAAGGCAAGGAATGTGAACCCTGGCTGGTGTGGCTCAGTGGATTGAGTGCTGGCCTGCTAAGCAAAGGGTTGCTGTTTTGATTCCCAGTCAGGGCACATGCCTGGGTTACGGGCCAGGTCCCCAGTAAGGGGCACGTGAGAGACAACCACACACGGATGTTTCTCTTCCTCTCCTTTTCCCTTTCTTCCCCTCTCTAAAAAATAAATAAATAAAATCTTTAAAACAAAAAGTTAAGGAATGTATATTGACAATTCACATAGAGTTTTTTAAAAAACTATTCAACCTTATTATAATAAATGAAATTCAAACTAAAACAATGATATACCATTTTTTTCTTATTAAATTACCAGAAATTAAGAAATACATAGCCAGTGTTATGCTATGGCTCTGAGTGACATGCAGCATCTTTAGTGGGATTTTGATAGGTACAGTCATTAAAATCAATTCCAGGTTTGGAAATTTATCTTAAGAAAATAATTCTATAATTGTGCAAAGTTGCAGAGAAGGTATAAAAGAACGTTTGTTACAACATAAGGGATTACTGGGGAAAAAGAAATCTAAATGACTTTCAGAGGGAATTTAGTAAATTATGATATGTTTGTGCACTGGAATATCACATAGCCATTAAAAGGATTGTGTTATCCTACATTTATCTATGTGGAGAGAAGCCCACAGTTATTTTTAAGTGATGAGGGGGAAGGGAAAAGCTTATTTTCAATCTGTTTTTATTTCTTAAGTAAAAGTTTTTTTTAAATATACAAAAAAATCTGGTGAGCTAAATTTCACATATAATAGTGATTACATTGCATGATGTGTTTGTGGGTGAACTATATTTTTCTGTAGTTTCTGAATTTTTCTTATGATTGTATATTTTCTTAAGGAAATAAAAGCTCTTTCATAGAATACATTTATTCCTCTTGAATCAATGCTTCCATTTCTTGCACTATATCCTAAGTAATCAAAAAAGTGGACAAAATAATCCTCAGAAAGTACTCTTCTCTCAGTTTTACCATATCATTACATGGCACCTGTTTCCATTGAACTGTCCAATCCAGAAGCTGGGTGTTACTCTTGCACCCTCTGTTCCACTTACTCTGCACACACTGTTCATAGATGAAGATGCCGCTCATCTCTACCTCCAGAACGGCCCAGATGTGCCCATCTCCACCACCATGCCACTGCAAACTGCCATCTCTATCCAGGAAGATTTTGGCAGCCTCCTAACTGGCTGCTCTGCATTGGTCCTTGTTTTCTTTTCCCTCGCCCCCATTGACAGTCCATTTGTCACAATACCATAGTTATTCTTTGTCAACCAAACTGTCATGTCCCTCTTAACCCCCAGCGATCCTTACAAGAAATTCCAAATGCCTTTCCAGATCTTATAAGGCCCCACATGACAGCCCATCCCCACCTCTTCACCTTACTGCACTCTCCCCTTGTTCCCTCTTGCTTAAACCACGCTGGACTTCTTTATGTTCCTCGAACACACAAAGCTTTTTTTCTCACTGGAGTTATTTTTATACCCACATTTTTGCATGGCCAGCTCTTGCTAGTTAGATCTCATGTTTAAATTTATTTTCTCATCACACAGTTTAAAATACCGGCTTGTTCACCCTTATTATACATCACTTTGTTTTTGTTTTTGTCCAGTTCTCATCACTTCCTAGTGATGATTATCCTTGTTTAGAGTCCAAGGATATATTCGTTAGTGATCCTTGTATATTTTTATGTCACTTTTCTTTATTCTCAGTGCAAGGGAGACTTACATGTTTTATTTATTTTAGGATGGGAGAGCTTGTTTGAAACCACAGTTTCCAAAGAAGAATACCAGGAAGTAATGAATAAACTCATAGGAGATGGTACTTTTGACTTCAAGCTGGAGAAAACCTACATAAGTGAGGACAAGCTGGAGAAGCTGCAGGGCCAAAATAACAAACCTTTCAGGAAAGTCTCAATTACCATAAAGAAATCCTACACAAAGGAGAGGAACTTTGTAGGTATTGAACTTGAGAAAAATCTTGGTCTAAAATCATCACTTATTAAGAAACCCAGAAGTGTTTCCAGAGGAAGGAAACCCCACTCTCAGCAGTATTCAATTCTATTTAAACAACTGGGAGTCAATACAGTGCGAAAATGTTACAAATGTAACATATGTGGGAAAATCTTCCTCCACAGTTCTTCCCTGAGTAAACATCAGAGAATCCACACTGGAGAGAAGCTCTATAAATGTAAGGAATGTAGGAAAGCTTTCAGCCAAAGCTCATCCCTGACTCAGCACCTGAGAGTTCATACTGGAGAGAAACCTTACATATGCAGTGACTGTGGAAAAGCGTTCAGTTTCACTACATCTCTCATTGGACATCAGAGAATGCATACTGGAGAGAGACCCTATAAATGTAATGAATGTGGAAAAACATTTAAAGGTAGTTCATCCCTTAATAATCACCAACGAATTCATACTGGAGAAAAGCCCTATAAGTGTAATGAATGCGGGAGAGCCTTTAGTCAGTGCTCATCTCTTATTCAACATCATAGAATTCATACTGGAGAAAAACCATATGAATGTAGTCAGTGTGGGAAAGCCTTTACCTCAATATCACGGCTAAGTAGACACCATAGGATCCATACTGGAGAGAAACCCTTTCATTGTAATGAGTGTGGGAAAGTATTCAGTTACCACTCAGCTCTTATAATACATCAGAGAATTCACACAGGTGAGAAACCATATGCATGTAAAGAATGTGGGAAAGCCTTCAGCCAAAGCTCGGCTCTTATACAACATCAAAGAATCCATACTGGGGAGAAACCCTACAAATGTAATGAGTGTGGAAAGGCTTTCTCCTGGATTTCACGGCTTAATATACACAATAGAATTCATACTGGAGAGAAACCTTATAATTGTAAAGAATGTGGAAAAGCTTTCAGTTCCCACTCAGCAGTTAATACTCATCGAAAAATTCACACTGGAGAGAAACCTTATAAATGTAATGACTGTGAAAAGGCCTTCAACCAAAGCTCAGCTCTAATTCAGCACCAGAGAATTCATACTGGGGAGAAACCATTTAACTGTAAAGTGTGTGGGAAAGCCTTCAGACAAAGCTCATCCCTTATGACACATATGAGAATTCATACAGGAGAAAAGCCTTATAAATGTAAAGAATGTGGAAAAGCTTTTAGTCAGAGCTCTTCCCTTACTAATCATCAGAGGACTCATACTGGAGGAAAATTATAAGTAAAATGCCCATGGAAAATCTTACAACTGAAGTTCATTCCATACTGAATATCAAAGAATCTTGGGGGAAGATTGATAAAAAGTACTTAATTATGGGTCAGACTTCAGAATATGGACCTGATCAGACATCAGAGACAACATGATGCAGGCTAACCTTAGGAATATTAGGAAAGTGTTTACAAAACGTTTTTTTTCCATGTGTTCTTAAGTTATTATTGACTATTTTTTTTTCTTTCTGGTAATGTGTGGTAACAGCCACCAGCTTTCACAAGCATCACTGGGGAGCATGCTGACATAAGAATGCAGTCATAAAGTTTAAATATCAGGTTAATCTGGAAACCTACTTTTTGAAAGGATATTTAGGTGTATGCAAGCCAGTTGTACTAAGAATGTTTTGGAAAAGAAATGTAAGCAGGTGACCTCTAGCTACCTCACTGTCACTAAAACTTGTTTGTTTTTTTTTTTAATTTAAAAGCAAATTCTGTACTTTGTGGTTGTTAAAACTTTTGGGTTGTTTCTTCTCTGTTTTCTAAGCCATGTACTTGAAAAGAAAATTGTGCAGATATATAGTCTTGTTAGTTTTCTTCTTGACTACTTGTTTCAAACTCTAAATCAGATCTAAATTCACTTTGTCACAAAGTGCATGGTATTTCACTTGTTTTCTGATACAATGATTATCTTTGCTGTGTTAAGTTGAAAAAAGTTATTCAGACATCTGCAGCCTTCGCAAGGTAATCTACAACTCTTGTGCCGCCAGGCTGTGCCTGTTTCCCACACGGGAACAACATGGGACCTGAGTGTCCTCCCTGGCGGTAAAGTGAGCCAGGCTCCTTCCTCTGCTATTGCATGGTGCTCACTTCCTGCTCTCTGCAGGCCACTAGAAAAAATAAGGCTCTAAGTTCCGATGCTTCTTTTGACAAAAATGGACTAGTACACCCTTCAACAAGTAAGCCTACCTCAGCATTTCTGAAATGTAATTTGAACCGGCTAAAAACAGTTTTCTCACAGGTCAGACTAAGGTTGTTGACCTTTACAGAGGCAACATCATCTCGTTTTGTCTAGTTTATCAGGAGTAGGAAGCACTTAAGGACTGAAATACCCATTTTCCTTTTTTAAGAACTCAGAAAAGGCGCTATTGGGGGTGAAGTATAAGCAGAAAAAATTGAATTCATTTTCTGCCTCCTGGGATTACTGAGTCGTACTGTTTTAGACTTGTGTGGAACAAACCTTTTTGGGTTATTAATGCTCTGTCTGCAAGACCCTTCTTCCCACCACCATTCTTTTAAATTCTCTAATTTCTGAGGAAATTTCTAGGGAAATAAAACTTCCCTGCCTTAGTATGTTTGAGCTGCAATAGTAAAATTCCACAGACTGGGTGGCTTATAAACACATTCATTTCTCACTGTTGAAGGCTGTGAAGTCCAAAATCAAGGCACTAGCATGGTAGCATTCTGGTGGAGGCCCCCTACCAGCTCTACAGCCAGTGCTGCCTTGTGTTGTCAGGTGATGAAGGGGTCAGGTGGGGCCTCTTAGAAGGACATCAGCTGCATTCATGAGGGCTCCACCCTCACGATAATCACAGAGGCTCCATTTTCTAATGCGATTGCCTGTGGGGTTAGCACTTTAAGATAAGTTTTGAGGGACACAAGCTTTTTTTAAAAAAAGACTGTCTTTAGACATAGGGGATGGGAGGGAAAAAGGGAGAGAATCACTGACATGTGCAGTCAGTTGCTTCGCACGCACCCCCAAGGACTGGGCCCACAACCCAGGCATGTGCCTTGACAAGGAATCGAACTGATGATCTTTCACCTTGCAGGATGATGATCAAGTGAGTCACACTGGTCAGGGCAGGTGAGTGCAAAATACTGAGGTCTCAAAGACACAAACTTTGAGACCTCAATATTCCTCAAGTATCAGCAGACCCCAAATCAGAAGTTATACACACACACATTTGGCCCAGTTATTTTTAGGGTGAGGTCTATCAAACTTGCAATAACAGATCATTTAAGTCTTATACAAAGTCTTCCAGAGGAGAAAGTATATCAGCACAATGCTTCAAGTATAACCCAGTACCCAAATCAGGGAAGCACAAGAAAGGAAAATTATAGGCCAATATCTATGGACAGAAATGTAAAAATCCCAAAGCTAAAAAACACCTAAACACAGTGTAATACATCATGGTAAATGAAGGTTTGTTTTTGTTTTTGTTTTTGTTTTTTTTATGGGAATGCATGGTTTATCTAGCATTTGAAAACTTACAAGATGCTGTGCGTTACCTTAAGAGGTTGAAGGAGAGAGATCTGCTCATCTCATCAAATTCAGAACCAACCAAAACTGTCAGCGTCCACCCACGTTAAAACTTAAGCAGCAGTAGGAAGGACTTCTTTACTTGGTAAGAGTATTTGCCAAAAGCCTGCTGAAGAAAATGGTAACATTTTAGTATTCATGACAATAAGTATGGAAAAAGAATGAACTACCCAATGACAGCTCTAAAAATTATAAACAGTTCATTCACAGAAAAGCGGATGCCTACCCTCCCATAAGAACACCCAAAAGACATAACTATGACTTTGGAAGGACATGTAAGAAATTTTATGACCTCAAGATAGAAAAGGATTTTCTTTAAACAGGATTACAAGTCAGCTATATAAATGTTTTACATGTTTGCTCATGGTAAAGAACAACTGCTTATCAAAATATACCAAAAAGAAAGTGAAAAATTAAGACACAAAAAAGACATCTTTCCACAACATGCCCACCAAATCATCTGGAAAATTTGTACAAATCAATCAATTAAAAAAAAAACAACCAGTAGAAAGAAGTGGTCTGAATATATGGCTCTTCTTTCCAAGAAGAAATACATATTTTCAAAAACAAAAAGATGCTTAACTTCACTAGTATTTAAAAATGCAACTTAACACTACATGTATGATTTTACAAGCACAGATGACCAAAAATTAAGATGGGTGACAACAATGAGTTTTGGGATGTGTGCAGATTTTCTGGCATTCATACTCTGCTAGTGGGAGTATAAATTGATTTCAGATCATTGGCATCTTGAAAGGTTGTCCATGTGCATGTCATAAAACATGTCCCACCCCTATGTGTACATGCTAGATAAATGTTTGCATATGAAAAACAATGTATACAGATATTGTTAGTACTGGCCATAATAGCAAATATTTGAAGGCAGTCCATCAGTGAGAGAATGGATAAATTTTGGAATATTAACACAGTAGAAGAGCAATGAAAATGAATGAGCCAAGGTATATGCAAAACATGAATTTTAAAACATGAGTTTTAAGAAGGCATAGGGAGCTACATATAGTATGATACCATTTTTGCAAAATTTATACTAGATGAATGAGGAACTGTTTTAGCTATTCTAGTATCTATTCTAGCTATCCTGTCTAGTAATGACTCACTTCAAAATTTGGTGGCTTGAAACAATTGATGACCATCTGTCTTGGTTCCATGTTGGGTTCACCTGAGCAATTCCTACTTGGTCTCTCCAATGTATTTATAGTCAGATGGCAGTTGGGGCTGAGGGTTTGGCTAGGTTTGGTGTCCAAGGCCCTGGGCAGTTGATGATGGCTGGCTGAGGGCTCATTTGGGCTTCTCCATGTGGTTTAGGATTTTCACAGAAAGGTGGCTGATAGTGACTCAAGACTGAACATCCTGAGGGAACTATGGACAAGTTGCAAATTTTGTAACTCAGCTTTGGAGGTCATGCAGCATTAATTCTTCTATTGGTCAAAAATGATCCACAGACTTGGCCCAGATTCAAGGGGAGACAATGAAAGGGTGCGACTGATGCCCTGCAGGCATGGTTCACTGGGCGACCACCTTTGGGACCAGTTCCCACATAAACAAGTAAGGTGGGGTGGTGATGACCTCTGTGAGGCAAGGGAGTGACGTGGGGAGGGGCACAGAGCTCCTCGTCTTGCTTGTGCCTGAAGGAGGCTCCCTTGCCAGGAAGGTGCTGCCCAGGCCAGCCAGGGTGGTCAGTGTGAAGGCCAATATGTATATAAGTAAAGCTAATTACATAGGTGTTTTTGGCCTAACTATACTGGGCAGTTTGAGGAAGAATAAAACATTTTAATTCCTGAGTACCCCGGATGAACTGAACATCACGTTTAAGAGGGAATGACCTCAGAGGTTGTGCCCAAAGGCCACCCCAAGGTCAATACAGTACAGGCCATCTTTGAATTTCAATGTTGCATTAATAAAGCAGTTAACACCCCTCTCTTCTGTCTACACCTGTCTTTCCCATTCATCTCCCTAGGTCACCAGAGGAAGGGACTAGTGGCTCCTGTCCCAAGTGAGGAAATGGGAATCTAAAATACATGTATCATCAGAGAACTAGACAAGTAACAATCAGTAAATTGTGAATAAATTTTCTTCATCTAATTTCTCTTATTTGCAAGGAGGCTTGTTCAGAAGTTAGGCAAAAGAGGAAGATGTACATTTTCATAGTTTAACAGCCATTTTCAAAGCAACCTGGAAAAGGAAAATATGCTTTAACTTTATTATTATAATATGCCTGATAATATTGTATTTACAGTATTTTAAAGTAAGTTATTTGAAATGTCCATTTATCTTTTCAGATAGCTTGGGCTGTTATGTCATTGGTTGTTGCCTTATGAAATAGATGTTTTCTCACAAAGAGATTTGTGAAGTGAATGGACTTTTTTTCCTAGACCCTCCCTCCATTGGATTTGTCAGATGTTTCCTCATGATTAGGTCTATGCTCTCTCTCTTTTTTTTTTTTAAAGAAAACCATGGAATAATATTGTATTCTCAGTTCATTATATTAACACATTAGGAGGTCTGTGATGTTAACATGTCCCGTTGCTAATTTTAACTTTGCTCTCTTGGTTAAGGTGTATCTGCCTGGATTTCCACTGTACAGTTACTCTTTTCTCTTTGTAATCATTAGTATCTTGAGAGGAAACCCTCCGAATGTATGCTCGTAGTTTTCACAGCGTGGAGAAAGGCAACAGCTCCCCCTTCCCTCCTCTCGTTCTTTTGGCTGGTTGAATAGTCACATCAACATGAGGCAGATTCAGTTTCATGTGCAGGGAACCCCACATACATGAAAATCCAAGACCCTGAATACTTGAGGGACTCA